TACGCCTGCACGCCTGGAATACCCTTCAGCATAGTCTCCATAGTACGCTTAAAAATAGCGGGCGCGGAAGACACTCCAAACGGCAGACGGTTGTAACAAAACAATCCTCGATGGGTATTGATGACCGTCAGTTTCTTAGCCTCTTCGTCAAGGGGAATCTGATTGTAAGCGTCGCGAAGATCCAGCGTGCTGTACACGTCTCCCTCGTTGAGAGCGGCGAAGAGGTCATCAATCACAGGTAGCGGATATTGCTCTGTAACGCATGCCGCGTTCACGGTTAGCTTGTAATCGCCGCAAATTCTGACTGACCCGTCCTTCTTCGTAACCGGCACGATCGGGGTTGCCCACTCTGAGTGTGAAACCGGAGACAGAACGCCGTTCTTCACTAGCCTGTCGAGCTCGTCAGAAACCTTGTCCCTCATAGCATACGAAAGAGGTCTAGCCCTGAAGAACTTTGGAACCGACCCCTCCTTGACATACAGGCGGGCGGGTGGAATCTCGAACAGTCCTAGCGTTCGCTCAAATACCTCTTCGTACTCGGTCAAGATTTTATCCAGATCCTCCCCTTTACATTGGCTTTTCGCGTTTGACACACTGAGAACAGGAGTCCCCAAGTTGTTTAGTGCTTGGATCAGGTCTCGGCCACACAAACATGGTCCTGGTCGGCGAAGTACAGTCATCGACGCTGTGACAGTCTTGTCGGCATACGAAACAGGAAGCGTGAGCTTACCGGCAATCGGCAGTGGCCCCAAGTAGCAAGACAACTTCAGGGTTGACTTCTCCAGTCTTGGCCAACTCTCCCTGTGCTGGTTGTAAACGTCCCAGGATATCACGCGCACAGGTGATCCCGTGTCGATCTCCATGATAATGTCGACTCCGCCCCAACAGAACTTGCGCCGAACTGGACCGACGATCTTGTTCTCCTCGATCGGATTTTGTTTCAGGGACAGCAGGTGCGAGGAGAATGCTGTGTCGTCGTCCTCAGCGGAGTTTTCGGTTAGTGCGAACGTCCTCTGTTGTCGCTTGCCCTTAAAGCGACACATTATTGCAATGTGTCCCTTCTTTCCACACTGGAAACACTTCGCATACTTGAACGTGCAGGCCATCTCGGAGTGTTCCTTGCTGCCGCACCGTTCGCACGCTAGCGATGGTCCACGTTCTTCCTTCCTGTACTGGCGTGACGGTCCCGGTCGTTGCTTACCCGCCAGTTTGTGCAGTTCCGGCTCTGACTTCACGTCTGAAGGCTTCATGAGTTTGACACCTTGTCTCGCCGCCTCCGCCGCCAGCACGATGTTCTCAGTTTCCTGCAATGTCAACTTGGGCCTGGAAAGTAGTGCCTTCTGAACGTCGATATTTCGAATTCCGCACACTATCTTGTCTCGTAGCATGCGGTCTAACATGTCGCCGAAGTTGCATTTATCGGCCAGCTGCCGCAGTTCCACGATGAATTGCTGAGCCGACTCTTCCTCTTTCTGAACCCTCGTGAAAAATTTGAAGCTTTCAGCTATCTCGTTCGGTCTCGGTGCGTAAAATTCCTCGAGAATTTCAATCGCTTGAGAGTAGGTTAGTTCTTTAACCTTCCTTGGCGCGCAACGCCCACTCAAGATGTCGATTGCTCTTGAGCCCAGTGCCGAAACGAGAAGCGCTCTCTTCTTTACATCGTCCATGATGCCGTTTCCCTCGAAGTAGGACTCAATGCGGATAATATACGAAGTCCACTTATCTTTCGTCTCGTCGAACTGTGGTACTTGGTACGTCATCACCGCAGACTCGGAGTTGCGTCCGTTGACTTCAGAGGGTGGTTCGGTACTCGTCGCCATTGCTAGACATTATTAGAGACGTTACTAGTGCTCTTTAATCTATGTACAAGTATTTACAGGAGATGTGCTCTTGCAACAGACCGGGCATCGGCAGCTAGTTGGGCTAGGCCATCAGTTCCATTGCAGTGATTTGCTCGCGCGTTGTTCTCGAGACTGTCTGTTGGTTGTCGTCGTCGTTAGTCCGACACCAGACGCACACGCGCGAACAAGATGATGTCTGAGATGCAGCAGTAACCAGCTTGTCGTGCCATTGCAGGGCCATGCACTTTCTTCGCTGGAACGCACCAACTTCTCCTTTTTTAGTTTGAGGTCTTTGAAGAGGGGCATGTCCTTCCTTGTTGGACTAACATGCCACAGACATCCGTTTTTTGCTGCAGGAGTTTGTCTACAAAACTTTGTAGAGGGGTAGTAATTATCGACAGTGATGCAGTACGCTTTGCAAAGAGGCTCATGATGACCTTCGTGCCCATGGCACTGACCGCGTCCGGCATAACAGTCCCCTTGCTGGTGTACACGATGAGGTTAGAGGTGTACCCTGTCTCAGACCCACAAAGCAGAAAAAACTTCACACCAAAGTGCGAGCGGTTCAGTGGCAGCTACTGTTTCCAGAATAACCTCCCATTGTACAGCACCAAGCTTTCATCCACTGCTACAGTGCTCTCAGGAATGTAGAGGGTGAGAAACTGTTCCTTCAGGAGACACAGCAACGACCACAGCTTGCGAAGCTTTGGTTCGGGGTGCTGTGATTCAACGATCACGTCTTTATGTCGGCAGCCACATCAACTTTGGCTATATTGATGCTAGCATTCTGTGGAAAGGCTGTAGAGAGCTGCATGGTGAAGAGGGACGTGGCACGTCTTGCAGCAGTTTTGAATTTTCGAGGGTGGCCACTGTTGGTAGTGAGGTGGTGGTCCGACAGGCTAATTGATGAGCTGTCGCAGGGGATACATGCAACCCTTTCCATTTGGGTGCTTCTTATATACCCCCCAGTCCCAAGAATTGCAGAGGCTTTGGAGATTAGGTAACCTGCTTTCCCTTTAAAATGAGCAGGGAGGATACCATAGTGGCTTTAAGTGCCGGTCTGTCAGTCAACCGTTTATATTAGTTTTGTTTTTATGCTTTAACGTTATGCCACCATTCTTTACGTAAATTTCTGCAATCATGGTTGTAGTGATTGTTTTACCAAAAAAAAATTTCTCTTGCTCATTCCATCATCAATCTAACTAACATTTGCAATGCAGTCAATACAGTCTTGCACGCCACGGGAGAACTTTGTTGATACATTTTTGAACAGATTGCAGAAAAAAAAGTAGGTTCTTCCAAAATGTAAAACCCGATACATTACCTCATTGATGTGTTCCCAGTTCATTTTCTTTTTCGGTTTATATGCTTCTGGATTATACTGTTTTCTGGAAAGTTCGGTCAATCTTTTGCAGAACATTGATTGGATGGTTCACCTTTTGCCAATAGGACGACCAAACCCCATATCACAACCGGTTTAATTCCCGCACAGTCTGATGTATGAAGGTTTCTGCAAAACTTGCTGCCTGTGCCGGAAATTACAATCGTTTTGCAGCAAATGTTGGAAAGTATGCACAGCGTGCAGTCTACTTTATTATTATTGTGTGATAAACTTGATCAGTAAGGATTCGGCTCACTTGGCTTACTGTATCTAGTCGAAACAGGAGAGTCTGCAAGCATAAAGCCATGGCAGGTGATCTTGAGGTGTTCCGGCAATTTTTCCACTACTATCCATAATCATTGTATTTATACGTATACCGCTTGTACTTGTTGCAACAGTTGAGGAACCTGTGCCTCGCTGACGACACCAATCCGTAGAAACGATTTTCTCTACTGGTGTAACTCATGCCATGTTTGTTTGGCTAGGGCTCAGGTAGGTGTTCGGCTGAAAACCAGACTCCACCAAAGGCTCGCTCTGTCTGGGAACACAAATTTCAGTTGGCAACACAGAGGAGGTGCATTCACTTATGCGGCTTAGGTGTTGACGCACTGAAGTGTCACTCTTGATAACTCCAGCAAATGCTTCGAAGTGGCTTCGAGACGAGTGACTTGGTGACACTAGCAACACTATGACGTATGAACACGAACACAAACGGGACAAACAAACCTTGCATTTTTCTTGTTTATGCTAATTGCAGCATGAGCTTGTGACTGGCGGTAGTTTGTCTTCCGCTACTGAAGTGCAGAGGTCGGCAGTTTAGGTCGCCCTCACTCACCCTCACAGCCAAACTCACCATAGCCCCTCACTCACCCTCGTCCTCACAGTCACACTAACTTTCAGCCCTTCACTCACCCTCACTGAACCTCATGGCCCTCATGCCCTTCACGCACTCATGGTCGTCACGCCCGTCACGCCCGTCATGCCTTCACGCACTCACAGCCCTCACAACCCTCATGCCCTCACGCCCCTCACAGCCTCAAGGTCCTCCCGGTCTTCACTCACCCTTACACTCATGAATTTTTGGGGTTCAGAAACTCACTCACCCTCACCTCACCTGCAAAGATGAAAGTGAGTGAATGTAAGTGTGGGCCCTTATGAGTGAGGTTTGCTGAGGTATGCTGAAGTGACAGTGTCCCGAAAGCGAAAATTGTTGTCGATAATTAAGGAAAGCTTACACATCCCTACGGTTCTTGACTAGGACTAGGACCCAGAACGTAAACAGATTGACATTGTAAAGGAGCGATAAGACTTCTTTTTAGTGTCTACAATTCTCAAGTTTGGATTATATGTTTTCCCGGAAATAAGCTTTTTCCCTCTCATTATTTTGTAAACATATCAATGAAGCTTTACTGTAACACCTTGGGTGGGCTAATGAGACTGCCATGCCATATTGGCTCATTTGCGAGTATGAGTTAGTGCTTACTTAAATTCGGGGAATATGAGATTTTGATCACCTTTTTATGGTCTCTATACGTGGCTTGCACGTGACATCATTGCACTCTACCAATGGTTATTCCTGCTTGTTCTTTCCAAGACAACAAATTTGGTGGAGTGAAACATGCTGCAGAAGGTAGGTATGCGTGCAGCAGCAAGGTCTTTCACGGTACCTGCTGCCGTGATGTCAGTGCATATATGTAGTGACAGATGAAGAGACAGCCACGCTCTAAACGTATGGAAATGCTACCCACCTGTCTCATGAACTGCCTTCCATCTTGCAGTCGCACCAGTGGTCACCGTGGACCGACCACGCTACGGGCAGGCTCTCCAGAATCCCATGGACCTGCAGTGCCACATCGAGGCCTTCCCGTCCCCCTCAGTGCTCTGGCTCAAGGACGACTACCACCTGACCGACAACCAGTTCTACCAGATCTCCATCTTCTCCACTGCCGACGAGTTCACGGACTCCACCTTGCGCATCATCTCCATTGAGAAGAAGCAGTACGGAAACTACACCTGCAAAGCCATCAACAAGCTCGGGTCGGACGAGCAGGTCGTGGAGTTGTACGGTATGTGGTCCCTCTGCGTCACTGTTATGAACCTGCCCAGCACTACACTGCGCGATACTAGGTTCGCTCGATTTACCCGCACCTGCTACACCGGGGCAAAAAAAAGTTAATGGCGGTGTACTTCCAATCGTTTCTCAATACACACGCTGAAAGTACACTGACCTACACTTTTCTGCACGTGCACAAGAGGTGGTAGTAAATTGAACAAAGCCACTGTTGGCGCGAACAAGTTGTCACCGACTTTTTGAAGTTTTTCGCTTAGGCTCGATGGACTGTCGTTACAACTACTTGTGTGGCGGAAAGTGTGACTTGGGCCACTGACCTAACCGCTAACATTTAATGCTCACCAGTTCTCTTTCAGAGTAAAATGCGAAAAGTGCCAACATTATGTTTGTTCCGACAGTGTCACAGAGTGCACACTGTGCTACACTGTTAGCGTGAACACGAAATCTGCGCTTTTGAGCATTTTACTCCAGAAGGCTATTGCTGGGCACCAAATGTTACCTCTTAAGTCAGAGTGCCAGATGTGCCCTTCCTTCCACACTAGTAGTAGGAAAATTGGTTGCTGTGTGGTGTTAGCGCGCCACAGCTCTGAGTACGTGGAGCGAAAGCTTACGCTGCAGAACCCAGGGATCCCGAGTTTCGTTTTCACCCTTGCCCATTTCGATCTAGATGAGCATCGTACTGGCGTGCGGTCGTGTATCACTACTGCACGATGCACATTAAAGACCCCAGGCTAGCAGTGGCACTGCACTGGCTAAATTTATTATTTACAGTGTAAACCAGTGTCACTGCACCTCGATGGCAGATCAACCTTACGCTGTATAAACAAAAATGTCAAGTATTTTTAGTTTTTCTTTAGTTTTTAAAGACGGTCTTTTATTTATAAAAAGAAAAGAAGCATAGAAACCAGTTGTTTCTTTGTTCATGTATGCAGTGTACCTGCTAAGGGAACTTAGAGCAGTTAACTTATGATGAATTCCACTGATCGTTTTGGAGCGTGCCGGGATCAACTTTTGTGAAGCTCGGCTATTTCAGTGGGTGATCGGGATCAAGACGAACATATTCCACTCGTCGTTTTGATCAGCTCCTACTCCAGAACTCGATCCGGATCCGAGATAAAGTCGCTCCGCTGATTTTGGCGGATTCGACCGGAAGCCAGCCTGGCCAGCCCTTGGTGTGCACACATGACTTCCGTTCTCGCCGGGCATTGGGACATTTCACCCTCTCGCCAATGTCGCCTAAAAAAAAAATAATTTGTAATGGCCGCTCATGATGTGCCACCGGCCTTACTGCTGCTGCTGCTTGATGGCAGTTCGTCGTCAAGTTGCTTGAGCAGCTCCTCCAGCATTAGCAGCTCGAGCAGCGACGACGACGAGGAGTGCTTGTATCTCCCACATAAATTCAACTGCCTTCTCGGTCCTCCGCAGAAAGGCCGAAAATCGAGATGTGTCTGGACACCGTTCACGAGTATTCTGATGAAGAGGCAAGTGGGCTACACTGATGCACATCTCTTATTGACAGGCGTCTTTCACAACATGATTAAGTTTGCTTATGCACTGAACACGTGTCGTTAGTGCTGCGATTGCGAAAACATATGCTTCAAGATTCGAAACCGCGGGAAGGCATTCTCGGTAAGGTGAATGACGGGAAGGCATCCACCGATCCCAGAGGGACTGGTCATGTTCCACTGGCGATCAGGAGACGGAGCGACTCCGTTCAAGTCGCACGCTCCACCGTAGATCTGGTCTTCTGATCTCGGCATGCTCCAAAACGACCAGTATTATTCGCCATTAGTTTTTGTGATCCTAGTTATCCGGAATTTTGTAGAAAATATTGTATTGTAGTACACTTGTGTTTTACTTGAAATGGAAGGGCCTCACTTCATTAGCAAATTCTTTTTGTAATTCCAAGTTTGTTTGTGGAAAGTGATTCAAGTGGATGAGTTTCCTTAACTACACAAACTTGCTCTCTGTAGAGCTCCAGAGTAAACAAAATAATGGTTAATTCCAGTCTAAACTGGTTCATATTTGAATGTTTGGAAATATTGTGAAAGTAACCAAGAAACATAATTGAAAATTGTTGTATGATTAAATATTAAAGGGCAGGTAAAAAGAAACTCTTAATAAATTGTAAAGAACAAAGGCAGTGAATCTGTTTTGTGTAAAGCACTTAAGGGCATAAAAATTATGATCTGGGTGCTGACATAAGGAACAGCACATCATGAAGCAGATCAGTGATAGGAGACAATTTTGTTGCTTTGCGCGCCGTGCCACCCAAGTGGTCACAAGACACAATGTAAGCTATGTATTGACTCTGGTGGCGTCTAACGTTTTCTGCTGGTACATTTCTCATATGATGAAACAAAGCATATAGGAAGAATGGTATCAACATAAAAATAATAGAGAGACACTTCAGGTTTAACAATTGGTTTTGCTGTAGATAGTCTGGAGAACACGTATCGCTAATTCTGAAGTGGTGCAGCAGCCCACAGTTTAACTTTGAGTGTTTGAGTAGGATGATGCACACTGCATAGTAAGTCTCGATGGGGACGAGCAGACAACAAACCGACTCATCAACTGCGCTAAACTTCCATCTCGAACAATAACTCCGTGCGAACATTCGGCATCTACGGTCGGGCCTCAGATCCACGGCAATGTAAAGGTATTGAAGCAGAACACGATCAGCTGGAAACGAGGGCAGTTAGTAATAGAACCAAACTTTGCGGCACTTGGTCTGTTTTTGACTTGTGCTTGCTTCTCTTTCCAGAGACTGTCAACGTCATCTGCCCTCCAGCCTGTGATAAGTCTTACTCATCTGGTGCCACGCGTCTACAGACGCGCTCACTGTGGTTCTTGCAGCTCGCTGCTTGGGCCGCTTTGTTCTTTTGGGTTAATGGGAAGCACTGATCATTCTGCCTTTATGCCAGGTTCGGAACGTGATGATAGGAAGAGCCATACTTAAGAGCAGCAGAGCCGGAACGATTTAGTCAAGCCATAGATATCTTGTTTATGTTTTTCCTTGTCGCAGCATTTATGGCTGGCTGTTTCCCTTTCACCCTCATTGTCATAACGAACAGCTGTGATAAGTGCGCAACCTCTTTTTCAAGGAACTAAGATTTCACCAGCTCTCACATTGATATGGAGCTATGGAGGAACATTCAAGGAGCCTGATCACCTCGAGTTTTTGGGATTATGCAAAAGGCAGCATTTTATCTGCCTCATAGGACATGACTCCCAATTGCATTTGGAAGGTTTTCAAAATTTGCCAATATTGGTGACCATGAGGGCATTAATTTCTTTTTATTCAATTCTTATCTTCAAAGTGAGGGTCTGAAATAATTTACTGTATGAAACTTTCAAATTGTATGCTCCAGATGCAGCATAGTGTAACTTATTTGTTAGATTAGTATTGCTTTTAATGACTAATTTCAACACGTATCAAGGTCTCTTTCTTAACCCTATGGTGGTGTTTTCTCCCCTAACATGTGCTGAACTTCGGGTGTCTCTTCAGGGAGCTAAATCTCAAATGCACTGGTTTGCAATCAGCTCATTTCAAAAAAGCTTCCCAAACTAGCTTATAATATTTTATTTTGTATAACTTTTACTTAAAAGATCTGGCAAGTGAGATAGACTTGGTTTACACCATTTAATTAAGGGTGGGTGTCGTAAGAAAGTGTAGCTTGGCATGTCCTCTTTTTAGAAAGCAAACCAGCTCATAATATTTTTTATCTGACATAACTTTTTAAAAGATCTGATATTCAATAATATTGTTCTTGCCACATTGTTATATATATTAAGTTGGCCAAGTATTTTCACTGCAATGATTTTGATTACCATATACTATACTCTAAGTGGCAGGAACTTTTGTAGGTGTCTCATTGTGTGATGCCACTGTTATGGGGCCTTAAAGCTGAACCTATTCCATGGGCATAAGCGGTATTATTTTTATTTATTTTTTGTGGCTAGCTCTTTTCATGCCTGGGGGCCTTTACTATTGGACGACTATTTAACTGCACGACTGGTATTCTAAGTGCACTCCTCATGTTCTTGTCCAATTTTCATGTGCTCTCTTATCATATTTTTCTACGGAGGAAAGTTAGCCTTTGCTAGCTTTCGATTTACTTCTGAATAACCTAGAGGACTTCATTCTCATAATTCATAACTTGTACATACGAACAAAACCTTGTGTTCTACTTCAGGCAAGTATGCATGCATGCAAATCAATGGAAGCTGAACTATGCACTAAGGATCTTGTGCTTGAGTTGTTGCACAGATCACTATTATGTAGCTAACAATCCAATTGTCATCTAAGTGCTATGTTTTGGAAGCGAATGTGTCATGAATTTGTACTGTACTGTTTTATTGTGTAAAAGTAAACATGATTTTTTCTATTTTTCTATCGAATAAATACTTTATACTCTTCTAGCCTGGCTGTGACTATATGGTGCCAGAGATTTTGGTGGGTTATTTTTACTTTAAAGGCTTGACTTTAAGCCTCTCACACTTGCTATCTGCTTGCAGTGCAAAGTAAGGACAAATGCTATTTGCTTGCAATATAAAGGAAGCTTCAGTGACAGATTTCAGGCACACTTATTTTAGAAGCTTGTACGGCTGCACACAGGTATTTCAGAGCGTGTCTAGCAAGCAGGAAAACTTGGAAAACCAGAAATTGTCAAGAAATTCAAAACACCTGGAAAATTTAAGGAATTGTCAGGCATACCACAAGGAAGTTGGCCAAATCAGGGAGAATGACAAATAAAAGTGGTACAGCTGTGTGCAGTGAAGCATTATGGAATGGCATGTGGTGTTGTAGGTGGCCGTCGCTGGGCGGCCCAGGACACTGCCCGATTAAATAGAGGTTAGCACTGCACCTGCATCTTATGGCTAGCTCAATGTGCAGGCCTAACTATTGGCCATTGGTTCGTTGGCCTATACTCTCGGTATTCTAGGTCATTTATGTGTTTGGTTTCATGTTAAGTCATCTGCAGTTGTATTTTCAGATGTGAGAGGATGAGGTCACTGTAGAGGAAGTGCTCCGTTAACATGCACGGAATCAAACTGTTTCTGAAAATGCAAATGGGATGTGTGGTGGCACTGCCTGTGTCAAGCAATTTATGTAGTGCTCACTAATACAGCATGCTGCTAGAAGTTCTTGAGCATCATGAGGAAAACGGCAGTTTCTAGTCTCATTACGAGTAAGATGCATTGAGCTGCTGTGAAGTCGCTGCAAAGCGCTCCCCAAACGAGATGCCCTGTTGGTTTTTAGGACTGCAACGAATGCAGCCTCAATATTGTTGACTGCAAGGAGTGTCTTGTCCGAATGTAGCTCTAGTACTTGAAGTGCTTCTGCGCAAAGGCTGAGACTATGTGGGGCTTGATCGCTATAATGATTGAAAAAGGCTGCAGCATTTGCTGCAGTCTTTATATTATATTTATATTTCTCAGATTTGAAAAACATTGCCTCAAAAATGCAGTTGGAGGGAACAGGTCAGATACACAATTTACCATGGCAAATTGTGTATCTGAGAAATGACCGGATGATGTCTCGAAAGATGTTCCGTGTTTTCACGTGATACGCCATTTTTTTGTTTTTTTTTGTTGGGGGTTAAACTCGACCTTACTGGGAAAACCAACATGAGCGGGCTGTTCTTCGAAAGGCTTGATATCACCGAGACAAAATTTGGAGAATGTACTTTGAAGTCGGTAGTTACATACTTTTCTCGGAAAGTACCGGAAAGCTAGGTGACTGGTGCGCGACCGAAAAAATCCAGGTGGATTTTTTCGGTCGCGCACCAGTCACCTAGCTGTGTTTGGAGATTTGTGTCTGTAATTTGTCCCTCTTGTTCCCCTTCTCCAGGGATTATTTCCGTCATTCTTGTCGAGCTCGCTTGCACCTTTGCATTTAATTGGGTGATTTCAGATAAGATTGAACAGGGGGTGGCTGGTCGACCTTTTTAATTTGCTCCATAATTTTATATGTTATTTCCCGATGTCCAAAATAAACAAAATCAGAATTATTTTCACCAAGAAAAAAAATTGTCGGACGCGAAAAATCGTACATCACGTAGAGGTGGAATGTAGCATTAGCTTGCATAGCCGGAGGGGGCAACTTTGGTGATTAATAACTAAAGTTATACTTCTTAGGTCAATTTCATATTGTTTTAACACAATCTATATGTACTTAGCAATACGAAGAATAATATTATTATTCTTTAGTATGTTTTAAAAAATAAATAAAAAGCATCAATTTTGGGCTCCTTGACCGTTTTTACCTCAACTTTGCAGGCCTGTATCTTAGGAAATAATTTAGTCAGAAACGTCATATTTTACGTAAATACACTACTTATAAATGGAAGTACATTCACTAAAATTCAAATTTATTTAAGCGCGGGTCGGGGAGATCTTTGCAAGCAAACACGAGACAAGCACCAAGATAAAAATATTTTAAGGGCGATTAAAAAAAAAATTCCGTTCTTGATTTTTTTTGAAACTCTGACCAGTCATTCTACTCTATATGGGGGTTAATATCAATTGAAAACATGTTGCATTATATTGATGGTGTAATAGATACAGCACCTCTGCCGAGCCCCTTCCACGAAGCTCGGCACGGTGTACCCCTGTGGTACGACGCAGTAATTGCGACTTCTTACTTTGAGAGAAAAGTATATTTTTATTCATTCGAGTATAGCAAGTCACATCTTTGGCATGTTATAATAAATTGAGCATTAAATATAATAAATTACACATCATATGCAACACAGTTCTGCCTTCATAGGTTTGAAAATTGACAGAATTTGACGCGAACATTTTCTGACGGTGTGCACTTTTCTAAGGGTTTTTTCAAGGAGTTTTTTCCAACGGGACCCGACAGTCCGTGCAACTTCCAAGTCACAGGTCGAAGCTTCTGATGTTTTGCATAGCCACACACGCCACGACTGAATACCAGGAAAGGCGCGCACTCCCACCCACTCTTCATTTTTGCGTTCACGGAATTCAACAACCTCGTATTCGTCCAAAATTGTGAAATTCACTCCTTTTAGTTTTTTGGGAAAGACTGTTCATCATGCATTTTGCAGACTGTATGGCCTTTCCTAAGAGCTGTCTCAAGGTGTGAAGCGTTGCTTGGTGTTTGACGAGTCCTCCAACTCCGTCCCACGCGTTTTTCCCGTGCCCACTGGCAATTGGGCCTCGGGAAAAACATTTTTTTTTTTTGGAATTCATGAAGTTGGAAGCGATTCTTGAAGTGACTGGCGGCACCGTCACTTACATAAGTCAAATGAGAGTACACAGCAAGGTTGTCATCGACCCACTCTCTCACTTTTTGTACAGCCAAACAGGCATGAGCGGAGTCAGGATGCTAGTCGTCACTGATGACGGCAAAAGTGTATGTCGACTTTCTAGTCGTCAATACACACGTAAATATTAAGACCTGATTTTTTTTTCCAGTGGTACGCTTGAATCTCGTCAAGAAGGATAACAGTTCAGTTTTCAGCAAAGTCGATGTGGAAGACAATGCTACAACGCTGCGCGCACTGCTTTTTTTCTTCATAGATGGCTTTGCCTTACGTCTGTCTGATATGGTTGTGAATGATCCACCTTGAGACCGACACACGAAGCTCTTCCAGAAAAGTGACCGGATCTAAAGTCTTTTTCACGAGCTCGCCTGACTCCCATGCTGCCGAAACTATCTCTTCATCCTCGGAAATGTTGAGTTTTTCGAGTGTAAGACACTGACTGGCCTTTGGGACAATGGTCACATTCGCCCAAAAGGCACTGGCACGATGGCGGGTTGCAAATGAACACCGAGTTCAATTCCGCTGCGTCAAATTGTGAGCCAGCGGCCGTTGGTAGAGAGGCGACAGAGAGGTTAAAGTTTGCGCAGTACACACAAACGCACGCTTCTTGCTGGGGATTGCATTTAACCCATCGGGGTCGCAGGGAGTAAAACTTCGTCAATCCGATGCCGGAGTCGGGATGGTCACTTTTATATACACGAAACGCTTCTCTGATTGACCGTGTCATAAAACGTTTCGGCTTGAATGTCTTCTGGCCTTCGGACACAACGGAAATGACGTTCTTCTGATTGGGACTCCTGCTTAGAACACTCTAACTCGTCTTTCATGTAGTAGTCAGCCGCTGCAGATATGTTTTCAGGGCTCACCTTACACATTGTATAGGGATCGGGCACATACCACACGCCGCGGTTCCCTGAGCTTCTGGGACCTATTAATGATGTAGATCGATGACTCTGGGATAAATTTCTGGACTTCATTTCTTGTCAAGATTGATGGCAGGGGGGTCAGCAATTGACAGCGTTCCCGTGGAGAGGCTGTGGTCGCAAAGGCGCGGCAAATGTTGTCCGCCCACTCGGTGCATGTGGAGCACTTTTGCTCCGACGACCCCGATGCCACGTTGTCACACACACACACACACACACATATATATATATAATATATATATATATATGTGTATATTTTTTTCTTTTTTTTTTTCACAAAATAACAAGTTGCAATCAATGCGTCCCAACACAGGGTCACCCCGTGCCGAGCTTCGGATAAGGGGCTCGGGAGAGGAGCTGTATTCATTGCACCATCAGTATGATGCAACATGTTTTTAATAGATATTAACCGCTAGAGAGAGTTAAATGACTGGGTAGAGTTTAAAAAAAAAATAAAGAACGGTTTTTTTTTAAGTCGCACTTAAAATATTTTTATTTTGGTGCTTGTCTCGTGTTTGCTTGCTAAAATTTCCCCAACCCACGCATATACAGATTTTAATTTCAGTTAATTTACTTCCATTAATAAGTAGCGTATTGAATTAAAATACGACTCTTCTGACTAAAGTATTTTCTAAGATACAGGCCTGCAAATTTGGGGGAAAACAGTCAAACAGCCGAAATTTGTTTTTTTAAAATTTTTTAAACATAATAAACAATAACAATATTTCTTTCGTACTGCTAAGTACACATAGATTGTGCCTATAAATTGTGAAACTCACCTAAGAAGTATAATTTCCGTTATTAATCACCAAATTTTGCCCCTCCGGCTACATAAGGAAATGCGACTTTCCACTTCTACGTAATGTGCTTCCACTTCTACGTAATGTGCAACATTTTGAGTCCGACGATTTTTTTTTCGCGGTGAACATAATCTCGATCTTTTTTCTTTATTTATTTCGGACATTGTTAAGTAACATATACAATTATAAAGCAAATTAAGAAGGTCGACCAGCCACCCTCTTTTCGATCGTATCTGAAATCACCCTGTATGTTGTGTAATTTATTCTATATAATGCGCAATTGATTATAACGTGCAAAAGATGTGAAAAACTATTACTTGCTATACTCAAATAACAAAAAAAAAAAAAAAAAAAAAAACTTTCCTTTTAAAGTAAGAAGTCGCAATAACTGCGTCGCACCACGGGGC